CACTGGCTGGTTTCTCCAAAAACTCCAATAATTTGACTCGAATCTTTACCGGCTCATTTGACTCAGATTTGTCATAAACTTCATAATCAAACGTGGAAGGGACTTTTTTTATTGTGGTCTCATTTTTTTTAAAAAAAGGGTTTTTAGAACAGAACATTGTCAAAGCCGCTGTACATATTGAACTCTCTTTCATAATTAGACGTGTACACTCTGCTGCTTATAGCCCTAATCAAAATAGCAACAAATGGTAACGCACGACATGTACAAGCGAACACCCTTTACTTGTGACTTAAAGGCAAAAGACGGAAATTGCCGAGACCGCTTCAAGTTTGAAGCTTCCACTACTTCCCAGGGTTTCTCTTTGGCCATTAAAGAGGATCCTCCCCTCATTCTGTTAGGACATAACGCACTCGCATAAAATTGCCACAAGTAGCTTGGATGTGTTCTCACACTTCACTGACAGTTACAAGCCATGGCATACATCCAGATCTTCCACCCACCTGCCCCTATAGTAAAGGACACAGAAACTCTTTGATGTTCGGGTCCTCAAGCGATGGCCACAGTGTCCTAAAAGGCGAAATGGAGCGCGAATCGCTTTATTTATTTTGGGAGAAGGTTGATCCGTTAAGTTTGGTGATTGGTCAGTGGGTTTTTATGTTCCGTGCAGTTATGAGTTTCGGCTAGCATATATGTTTTGTTATCATTCCCATATATTCAGTATTGTGCTTACAGGTTCCGGTACCCATTCCGGTTCACCAGTCGAGATGTCAGAAGTGCCACACTACGTGCTCTATGAGCATGCGGTTGGTTATGCTCTGATGAAAATCAAGGAATTCGAAGACGCCGGACTGATTATACAGGAGGTAACATTTAATTCAGTCTCGTTAAACATCATCAATCCCTATATGTATGAACCCTTGTATTTTAAGCCGGGATGTCGTTTCTATGAATGACGTCTGGTCTAAGACAAGGGAAAACATAGTGAACATCAGACACCCTCATGCAGTTATTGTATGGAGTGGTCGTTTTGATTCCCACATTAGAAACTTTCTGAGACGGCCATTCTAAATTCGGTGGAAAGATACCAAATATGAGATTTACCACTTGTATATTTTAAGAAATTCCTTATGCACTAGGTTTCGCTAACTGTATGACGTGTTCTTCTGAGCGTGTTCGTTAAAGTATCCTTCTCTTCAAAAAGAAGATTACAAATTTCTATTTTAGGTTGATGCTTCCATCGCTGATGTGTCCAAATTTTGCGGAATTGTAAAGCTAGCTGCCTTTGATCCTTTCAAGAACACTGAGGCAGCTCTTGAAAATG